TTGTCAAGAATCATTCTTTGCAAATCACACAGTGTTGATCTAATCAAGGGGGTAATTTCATTATCATATAGAACTTGTGAAACTTTCTGTAGACAGAAAATCTTTTCACTGGACAACAGAAATAATGACCCTGAAATGACTTCCTGAAAAATTAAAATCATGTGCAATATACTATTCACATAGAAACGAGGTGTTCCAGGATAATCATTCTCTGAGTTGCTGCACAATGAGATTAAAGATGAACTCATCAAAGTACTTTTCAGTTCAGTTCAGTTCCTCAGTTGTGTCCAACTCTTTGCAACCCCATGAATCGCAGCATGCCACACCTCCCTGTCCATCATCAATCCCTGGAGTCCACCCAAACCCATGTTCACTGAGTCGGTGATGCCATCCAGCCATCTCATCCTCTGTCGTCCCCTTCTCGTCCTGCCCCCAATCCCTCCCAGCATCATGGTCTTTTCCAATGAGTCAACTCTTCGCATGAGATGGTCAAACTACTACAGTTTCAGCTTCAGCATCAGTCCTTCCAATGAACACCCAGGACTTATATCCTTCAGGATGGACTCGTTGGATCTCCTTGCAGTCCAAGGGACTCTCAAGAGTCTTCTCCAACACCACAGTTCAAAAGCATCAATTCTTCTGTGCTCAGCTTTCTTCACAGTCCAACTCTCACATCCATACATGACCACTGGAAAAACCATAGTCTTGACTAGACAGACCTTTGTTGACAAAGTAATGTCTCGCTTTTTAATATTGTGTCTAGGTTGGTCATAACTTTCCTTCCAAGGAGTAAGCGTCTTTTAATTTCATGGCTGCAGTCACCATCTGCAGTGATTTTGGAGCCCAAAAAAATAAAGTCAGTCACTGTTTCCCCATCTATTTGCCATGAAGTGGTGGGACCAGATGCCATGATCTTAGTTTTCTGAGTGTTGAGCTTTAAGCCAACTTTTTCACACTCCTCTTTCAGTTTCATCAAGAGGCTCTTTAGTTCTTCTTCACCTTCTGTCATAAAGGTGGTGTCATCTGCGTATCTGAAGTTGTTGATATTTCTCCTGGCCTACTTGATTCCAGCTTGTGCTTCATCCAGTCTAGAATTTCTCAAGATGTACTCTGCATATAATTTAAATAAGCAGGGTGACAATATACAGCCTTGATGCACTCCTTTTCCTATTTGGAACCAGTCTGATGTTACATGTCCATTTCTAACTGTTGCTTCCTGACCTGCATACAGATTTCTCAAGAGGCAGGTCAGGTGGTCTGGTATTCCCATCTCTTTTAGAATTCTCCACAGTTTGTTGTGATCCCCACAGTCAAAGGCTTTGATGTAGTCAATAAAGCAGAAATAGATGGTTGTCTTGGAATTCTCTTGATTTTTTGATGATCCAGTGGGTGTTGGCAATTTGATCTCTGGTTCCCCTGCCTTTTCTAAAACCATCTTGAACATCTGGAAGTTCACAGTTCATGTATTGCTGAAGCCTGGCCTAGAGAATTTTGAGTATTATTTTACTAGCGTGTGAGATTAGTACAATTGTTCAGTAGTTTGAGCATTCTTTAGCATTGTCTTTCTTTGGGATTGGAATGAAAACTGCCCTTATCCAGTCCTGTGGCCACTCCTGAGTTTTCCAAATTTGCTGGCATATTGAGTGCAGCACTTTCACAGCATCATCTTTTAGGATTTGAAATAGCTCAACTGGAATTTCATCACCTCCATTAGCTTTGTTCGTAGTGATGCTTCCTAAGGTCCACTTGACTTCACATTCCAGGATGTCTGGCTCTAGGTGAGTGATGACACCATCGTGCTTATCTGGGTCATGAAGATCTTTTTTGTACAGTTCTTCTGTGTATTGTTTCCACCTCTTCTTAATATCTTCTGTTTCTGTCAGGTGCATACCATTTCTGTCCTTTATTGAGCCTATCATTGCATGAAATGTCCCCTTGGTATCTCTCATTTTCTTTTTCTAGTCTTTCCCCTTCTACTGTTTTCCTCTATTTCTTTGCACTGATCACTGAGGAAGCCTTTCTTATCTCTCCTTGTTATTCTTTGGAACTCTGAATTCAAATGGGAATATCTTTCCTTTACTCCACTGCTTTTTGCTTCACTTCTTTTCACAGCTGTTTGTAAGGCCTCCTCAGACAGCCATTTTGCTTGTTTGCATTTCTTTTCCTAGGGGATGGTCTTGATCCCTGTCTCCTGTACAATGTCATGAATCTCCATCCACAGTTCTTTAAAACAGCACAAAGTACTTTAAAATAGCACAAACTATCAAGATTATAACAAACTCTGAAATAAAAGTTCATATGTCCAACAATTACAGATGGTTTTCATAGAGAAAACCAATGAAAGACAGCTATGTCTCAAGCACACTTTGGAATGCAGGTTCATATGAATAGTTACAGTAGTAAACCTTTATTCTGCCACTGATTAATACACACACACACTTTGTGAGGAGCCTTTCTGTTGTGGGATCTAAAAAATCCTATTTACTGACAAGTCTAGATCAACTTCCATGACTGGTATTAGAAGGAAGAAGTGACACTGCCTTAAGTCTTAACAAGATTTTGCCCTGTGTCAAAAAGCCTTGGGTGGTGGTAAAGCTTTGACCAACAATGTGGTAAAAAAAAAAAAAAAAAAAAAAAAAAATTTTTAAAAATCAAAATTCCTGATCATGGCCCCACTTTCTCCACTGACCAGAGCTAAGACTTTGGACAACCCAGTAAATCCCCCTGTGATTTTGTTTGCTCACCTGTAGGATAAGAGATTGCCCCTTGGCCACTTAAGATTCTACTCTAACTTCAATTTAATTTAGAAATTAATCGACATCACTGGCTTCCTACATCTTCCTATGGAACTGGGTGGTTTTAAAATACGTTCACAAATTCTCTGATACTCCTCCCTTTGGAAGGTGGAGTCAGTGCTTCACCTCTCTGGATTTTGTGACTGCAGCAATGGACAAATGCAACAAAACCTGAACTTCAAGCCTAAAAAATTAAAAAATAATGTGGTCTCTTCTTTTCACTTGCTAGCACTCTTGCTCACACTCTCTTCTAGGACAGATGCCTTGGGCAATGTGAGCACCATATAGAACATCTACTTATTCTGGAAACACCATGCTAGAGAAAACCACACATAGAGAGAAAGTCCAAGGAACGTCAACAATTTGAACCTTCCTACCCAGGTGATTGACAAGTGAGAAAAGAAGCCTTTGAAATTATACCAGCCCCAGACACTGTCTGTAACCTCACAGGATATTAACTAGAACTGCTCAGCTAAGTCACACGTGAATTCCTGATCAGAAACAGAGACAATAAGTGATAAATGTTGTTTTAAGCCACTAACTTTTAAGGGTGATTTGTTGTGCAGACACAGTAACTGGAAAAGGAATAATGATAGAATTAAACTGGAGAGAAAAAAAAAGCCACCTCCAAAGTCAAGCAAGGAAATCTTTAGCATCCACAAGAACCTCAGAAAAAGAACACTTGGAAGTCTGCAGGAATGATGAAGACAGGTAAAATTCATCAATAAATAACACAAAAGTCAACAGTAGAATAATCACCTCTTCATTTCCAAACTGGGTGGTCTTCATGAACACTTTCCCACAATCACAGTTAACAGAAATGTAATAAGAATGACCCTAAGTGGAACCGTTTGAAACCAACAGCAAGGCCAAAGGTAAAGGATCTTACTGTGACGTCACTGAGTCATTTCCATGTGGGAACTCACACTATTGCTCTCAGGCTTTCTGCCTTATGCCTTTCTCAATAAACTGTGCAGTTGATGAGGGGCAAGTATTTCCCCGAACATATTTCAAATAACTCAAATAACTTTTCCTTTTAGAACTTCTCCTTCAGAAGGACAAGGAAAAGAGATGGAGTCCTGTAAGGAAGGTGACACCTATCACTGGGCCAGAGAGTGAGTCTGGGATACCCCACGTATCCTGGTGAGGCTGAACCAAGGGTGACGACCAGAAGATGCCAAATGGTAGCCTGCAGGCAGGATTCAGCCACAAACCCATATCTTTTTCCTTCTAGCCCACCCAGTGTTTTCAAAACAGGAAATCCCACATAAAAAGCCTAGATTTGTAGTTTCTCCTGAAACACGGGAATTCTAGCAAAGCTGGGTTTGCAGTACCACCTGGTTTCCATTAGCTCCTGCTGACTAGCTGTCTCTCCCCGTAAACAGAGCTTGCCCTGTCTATTTGCCACAGTCCCCACTACCCCATTATTCCATACGTGGGTTCACTTCACTTGTTTATTTTATATTTTTGTTCCTGTAGACATCTGACTTTGCATCTGGTAACCTATACCAACAGAGGAATTTCAGACTCCAGATCAAGTGTTTCTTGATCACTATAGGTTTGAAATGTGGGCTGGTTTAAAAATTCCAGTAAATTCTGCTGTTACACTCTTGCCAATTTCTTTCCCTAAACTATAGATGCGGGACTATGACAAACCCACATGCCTAATGGTTATATAAGTCATCTTATGACACAGTTATCAAATACTGGGGTGCTAAGCGTGACTCTGGAAATATAGACTAAGCTTCTTTGATACATCCAAATTATCTTCAAAATAGAAACTGTGTCCGTACCAGAGTCTAACATTCCTAGTCCAAGTTAATGTGGAAAAGAATCAATTGTTAGTTAGCTCTGAGGTTAGAATGGGAATAAATGGAACAAACAGAGAAGGCAATGGCAACCCACTCTGTGTTCTTGCCTGGAGAATCCCAGGGACGGGGGAGCCTGGTGGGCTGCCATCTATGGGGTCGCACAGAGTTGGACACGACTGAAGCAGCAGCAGCAAAATGGAACAAAGAGAGCTACATATTATAAAGGGAAATAATTTAATCACTTGCCAAAAAATTGCCTGATCAATTTAATCCAGGTGATTTCTAGTGGGGGCTGAATTAGGCCATAAGGATCTTTGTTGAGAGATTCAGACCAGCATTTTCCGGCTTGGGTGTATGTGTGTGTATGTTAGAGAAAACAAATAAAACAGCTCACCAATTCCAGACACTGTCTGTGGCCATAGGCAGCAGCATAATGTATGCTATTGTAGCCTTCCTTGTCCCGGATAGATGGATTTGCATCATGTTGAAGCAGAAATTCTAGACATCTGTTAAGTATAAAGATGAGATGTTATTTCAGAAAACATCCCTAGACCAAAAAGGATAATCAATGTTAATGTTCTCTTACTGTGAATGTGCCACAAAGAGCTTTGTGAGTTGAAGTGTTTCTTTAAAGATTCTATAGCAATTAGGGTTTAAATACTGGATGTTTTATGTGTATCTTGTGCATCTATCTTTATCTTAGCTTAAAATAGCCATTCTAGAATTAGGAAAGGCTTTAGGAACTAGAAGAAAGTGAAAGTTGCTCAGTCGCATCTGATTCTATGATCCCATGGACTACAGTCCATGGAATTCTCCAAGCTAGAATACTGGAGTGGGTTGCCGTTCCCTTCTCCAAGGGATCTTCCCAACCCAGGGATGGAACCTGGGTCTCCCGAATTGCAGGCAGATTCTTTACCTGCTGAGCCACCGGGGAAGCCTAGGAACTAGAGGGAGTAACTGAGGAACTAGAGGATAATTGAATATTTTTCCCCTTTCCATCTTAAGGTACAGGACTGGCTTGTCATCAAAATTTCTAGAGCTCTGTGTTCAAAAGATAAGGTTTCAGCATAATATAGAAATGGTCAAGGCATTGCAAAGGGATAAACCTCAAAAGATGTGGGTTTATTTTTTAACCTTGCTATTGGAGACTCAGATTAAAAGGCTGGGAAATGAAAGTTTAAAAGAGTAAGAAAACAATAACAGAAAAGAATTTAAGACTAGCCAAAACAATAAAAAGACGTAAGGACTGGGCCAACATTTAAAAAATATAAAAGATTAATTCAGTTACCACCTCTGAAGAAAGAGGCCGACACTGTACCACTAGGAATACAGACTAGAGTAAAATGATAAATAATAAATTTTAAAAGCCTTTTCTGACACAGTTGTAATTTTTCTGGGGGAAAAAAAATCTTTGCAATAGGTCAGAGGAAGGAGTGTGGAACTGCTTTTGCTGAAGAGCCGGACACAAGGGATGTGATGCATTCTGCTCAGGGCCCGCTGCAAACGGGACAGCCAGGCTGGTCCAAGAGCGAAGAGCCAGACAGGGAGCGCTGCGATGTATTATTTATATCGGCTATATTTCTTGACACAGGGACAAACATGTACTTTACAAGTCCAGGCTGGTTCAAATTCATACTCAAATCAAAATCCCAAGATTCTACATAGAAGCCTGTATATTAAATAAGACCTCCCAATAGAAAATTTCTATAGTTTACTCAGAAACCTTAAAATGACATTATCTATCTTTCAGTATAAGGCAAAAGGAGTAAATAAATCACACACAGAGACAGATATTAAAACAGACATTTTAATTTTTAGAAAACTTGATGAAAGAGAAAATTTTAAAACTAAATACCTACATGCTACACGGTTCATCCATAAAATGCTCTGTAATAAATCAAACTATTATTGGATACCTGATATATCATGCTGTATTTGGTGATTTACCTTAAAAGGAAGTCTTTTTTTTTTTCCCCATAATGAAATACCCATGGACTGAATCCCAGGTGTGACTCATTTTAAACTGAATTTGGCTCTTGAAGTAAAATCACTCAATAGGGATAGCTTTCTTGTGGACACACAATCCCCAGCTTCTGAAAGGACTATATTCTAAAAAATCAGTTGATAAATTTAACAAGTAATTTGGAAAACACTGGAGATTACACCCAAAGAGCTATTTAATGCAGAACATAGCTGAACTATAACTGTCCACTCTGCTGGGCTTAGTCACTCAGTCATGTCTGATTCTTTGTGACCCCATGGACTGTAGCCCACCAGGCCCCTCTGTCCATGGAAATTCTCCAGGCAAGAACACTGGAATGGGTTGCCATGTCCTCCTCCGGAATCTACCCAACCCAAGGATCGAACCCAGGTCCCCCGCATTGCAGGCAGATTCTTTACCGTCTGAGCCACCAGGGGAGCCCATAATTGCCAACAGTACTATTAGAAATAACAACAGTGTTACATAATGTGAATATTCTCCACATTTTTCCTAAGGGAAATGAAATCCACTTTTAACTGGGAATGCTTGTCTTTTTCACCACCTAGGGCCCTGGACTAGTAATTATGGCACCTAGGCCACAAAATCAAGAGATGCACATTAGATTAAGGGTGTATTTGCAAAAGGAAGTAGCCTTTTATTGCATGAAAAAGCTCCCCACTAGGCTGGTCCCTGCCTTCTCCTGCCTTTCCTGCTCCATCCCTCTCCACCAGCTGGAAGAGGGCTGCTCTGGCCTGGGGCAAGCTCGCATTTCATTGGAGAAAGAAGCATTTGCTGAGGTGGCTTAAAATTTTATAGTCTTTGAATATTATTACTTTAATTTTGGAATATTAGGGCAAAACTGTGGTTATTCTGTTCTACCTACAGCTTTGTTTCCTGCGCCCACCCCAGTCACAGACAAAGTTGAGTCCCTACAGCTTGCACTGGGGACTTGCAAGTGAAGGACTGTTTGAGTGCAAACTCTTAGAGTACTACATCCAGAGCTCTCACAGGGGCAGGACACAAAGTGTGGGTGCTGGGCATTCACGTGTTCATTCATTTAACAGAGAGATGCTGGCAGCCAGCTACGTGCTGGGCGCTGCACAACCTTCTCACCACGACTTCCAGTCCAGGAAGGACTCTCAGAGGATGAAACATTAGAGCTTCCCAGGTGTCAACAGCCCTGGGTGCTGACACTCACTCCATGACAGTAACAGCTAAATCTCTGTCAAGACACCAGAAAGGGGCAGGTAGGATGAAGGGGACAGAGCAGCTGTCTGCAAGGGAGGAAGGTGCTGTTTGTAAATTGATGAGAGTGTGTTGGAGAGGGAGGGGAGAGTACAACTGGTGTATTTCACACTGAAATCTCGAAACATGTATTTATAGAATCTGCTAAACAGTCATCCCCAGGTCACAAAAGGAGAGCCTGAGGTCCTCAGAGGAGGCTTTAGTATGTCCCCTGAAGTACATGACACACGCAAGAATCAGAAATGATATTCAAGACACCTGGTTCTAAAAACTGCTGCCCAATCAGTGATGATCGCTGCAAAGGCTTCAATTTTAGAAGGAGTGTGCATCTTTAGAAGAGTATGTATCTTGTATGAAAACAGCCTATTTGAAGGATATATTAAAAGAACAGTTTCTTCTTCATCAAAGGCAGGCCCACATCACTTCCTCAAGACCCCAAGGGAGACCCCAAAATAGTAAAGCTGGCCCATATGGCAACATAGAGCAGCAGCCAAAGCATCAGTAACCAACACCTTGTGCTTAAGCTGAGAAGAAACTTACAATGCAGCTTCCTTTTCCTTCAGCTCTCTGGCTCTTTCAAGTTCTTCCGAATTTTCATGGGCGTTTCCTAAGATAATCTTACTTCTCAGCAAAGGGAAACAAACAAACAAAATTATAATTAGCAAAGTTGCTAATGATTTTGGTACAATTTACATCTTAAGAATTGCCCCCAACTCCAAAGAAGCAAGCACTACTAATTTTTCATGGAGGATATACATGGTTCTCTCTGAGTCTGTCCATTAAATATTTTCTCTCCAAAGGAATCCAGTTAAGAACACGGTATTCCTAAAACTTCCACCGAGGTATCAATGATTAAGGCAGCAATCATGCTGCCCACTCTTCCGTAAGTTTTCTAAACTCCCCAGGGAAAGAGAAAGTGATTTAGCTCAAAATTCCCTGACACCTACCACATTCCTTGCTGCCTCCTTGTCAGTTGAGCATCTCATTTATCCAGGAATGGGTTCCTAAGCACCCCTCATCTACCAGAGAAATTCTGCACCATCTAGGATTCATATTCTAGATCTTAACAGATGAAGGATGCTTATTCCCCATTCTATTCCAAGTGAATAGCACAGAGCCTGACACATAATGCATGCTCAATAAATGTTTGTTGAATTCAGAACATGTGGCTGTGGGACCCTGAGGCTACATCAGACTTGCCAGTATCATATGAAGGAAAAAAAGAAGCAGTGTTTTCCAAACTGGAAATATGGATCATGATCTATAACTGAATTATTAAATCAGTTTAGTGGGTTGAAGTCAGTAGGTTTTTTTAAAGAAATAAAAGATATCAAAATGCATCATACATAGCAAAAGTAAATAAGGTTTTATGAAATCTTCTTTCCATTTTCCATACATATGTATAAGACATATATACATGAGTCTGTATATTGGATAGTGATGTAAAGTGAGCATCAGTCACTCAGTTGTGTCTGATTCTTTGTGACCCTGTGGACTTCGGCCCACCAGAGTCCTCTATCCATGGGTTTTCCCAGGCAAGAATATTGGAGTGGGTAGCCATTCCCTTCTCCATGGAATCTTCCCAACCCAGGGACTGACCCCCAGTCTCCTGCATTGCAGGTGGGTTCTATCTTTACCTTCTGAGCCACCAGGAAGCCTAGTGTGTAGGTAACTGTCTAGTATGTTTAAAAGCCATTGCTCTACAAGAAAGGGAGTTAGCACTGACCATATAACTCAACACATCCAAATAACTCAACAGTTCTCCGAACAGGGTCACCAAAAAGTATTCCTATGAAGGAGGGCCTGATCCTCAAGTCTTTGAGAGCAATATCATAAGCTGTGGGCATCTCTCCCACCTTTTCCCCTAGAACTGGTTCATTTATTTTTGCTTTCCATTCCAAGCCACCTAGAATCCAAACATGATCAGGGCAACCAACCTCCTGTCTTCCAGCTTCCAAAAGAGGATTCATGCCCAGGTTTGAAAAATGTCTATTTTTTAAATACTTATTTTTAAAAATAAAATACTGATGCTGCATTTGAAGACTACTGGGATTATACACAGGTGGATATTTTTTACATATGACATATTTATTAGAAAATATAAGTTTTACAGCAAATGAAGCATGTAAGCGGTGATGATGAAAACCACAGTATATGACAAAATAAAGTACGAGATTTGAATGAACTGAAAACCTGAGCTTGTCAGCTCCACTTGGCATTCAATGCACAGAACAGAGAAGAGACGCAATTGTGCAGTGACGTGTACTAATCAAATGGAAAGAGAGCAGAATGTGAAACTAGGGGTTATGGAGGAACCAACTCAAACTCCCTCAAGTCTAGATAAGAGCGATTCTTCACTCACAGTCTTGGTGAGGCAGTATGAAGAAAACTCAGCAAGCCCTCCCTCTCCCATCTCCCCCCTCTTCCCATCCCCGAAGAAACAGGCCAAGGCTGTTGTTACTTTCTATCCACGTCTGATGCAGCAGCATAGTGCAAAGCGGTGCGGCCCCAGTCATCCGTTTCATTCACACTGGCCCCTGTGGTCACTAATGTCTCAATACAGTGGAAATGACAATTTGCAGCTGCATAGTGCAAAGGAGTCCTGAAAAGCAAACAGCAATTTATTATATCATTCAGTCTGAAAAACAGATCCCCATAATCAGCACCAGCACAGACAGCAGTATTTGTAGGGGTGTGGAAAGATCTCTGGCTCTGAGTGAGGCGGCCAAGAGATACGCCTTCCTCTAGCATATCTTATATGTGAGAACGAAGGCTGCAAAGATGGTGGCTTCAAACAGGCCACTCACTTGTGGATCTCCTTTCTTTCCATCCCAAATGCCTATCCTGGTTCCCATCTACATGACTGTTCATGACTGCTCCTCTGGGCTCTTGCAATACCATCCAGATTGGCCTCCTTTGCCCTAACCCAACCTCCATGTAACTTTCAGCTGCCATGAATGAAGAACTGGATTTTCTAAGGTCCAATACCTTCGTATATAATCCTGTATCAAAACCTTCCGTTCTTCCCAGTGAACAAAGCCTTGATTTTTTAGTTTGAAATTGAAGACCTTCCCAAGCTGGCCCTGGTCTATCTTTACAAAGTATCTCTCTTCCCAAAATGCTGTTTCCAAACAGATTAAACTGAGGTTTTTTTGATCATGTCCTCATTTCCTCTACCTTCCTCGTGTTGTTTACTGGTACTGGTTCCCTGGACCAGCTAGTACTGCAGCATGACTTAGCTATGCAAAGGACAAGCAAGAAAAGTTCTAAACCATCCCAATAACCAGAGGGGTTATGGGTGGTATGTGTGTGTGTGTATTTCATGTTTAAAATGTGTCTCAAGATTTATCCCAAAATGAAATATTCAATAAATATAATAAAGAGCTCCAGATCTTGTGAACAAATTCTGTCCTGAAAGGGCTAAAGTGCTCTACTTTGCTATACAGAGAATTTTCTCAACTATATCCATGTGGAGGATTATATATTTTATATACATAAATATTTTTATATAATATCTATAAAGTATGCAATCTCCCACATGTATATAGTTATTTATATCAGAAGGAGCAGAACAATTGGCGCTTCTAAACAGAAGCTGGGAAAGGAGACCCTTTCCTTGTGGCCTGTGCCTGCTTTGCTGGTGTTTGGCTTTGCTATAAAAAGGGATTTCCTTCTGAGGATAGAATCTCCCCAGATAGCTTCCCTGTTTACCATTTCAACATAACACGATTTCCAGACGGACTGCTCCCCACGCCTTTTATTTAGGCACTTGAAGCAGAGCTCCCTGTTTACATACCTCCCACACTTGTCCTTTTTATGGAAATCTGCTCCACTGCTTTGCAAGAGTTTTATACATTCCACATTACTAGAAAGACAGGGAAAGCATTGTTAAGATGATAGAGGTCAATTGCTGGGCTGTCTTCAGAAAGAGCTCTTTTCTGCAGAGTATATGCACAGATGAAATGAGGACACTAACTTTAAATTCTGCTAACACAAAAATAACCTAACACATTAGAGTAATGCCATATCATAAGGACCTAAAGTTCCTACAATTCCTTTTTCAAAACTAATCTATCAATGCATTAAAGAACTTGATGGGACATTTTCAATTCCATGACTAAAGAATTTAATGATTATTACATGATGAAACCTTTCAGTGATGGTTTCATCATTTATCCTAAAAGTCTCTTTCAAAACCATCAAGAGTTTATGAAACAACTCCTTAAACCTCTAATAATTTCATGTCACTTTTAAACAATGAGCCAGAATGGATGAGCATTACCTTTTATCACAGCAGAATGAATTCACTATAACCATTTTCGACCCAGACTCTCCTTAACGGAAAATAAACCAGCTGCATTTCCCTGTCTTGGTAATCTAGGTAAATGAATGTGTAGAACCAAGGCCGAAAATGATGTAATGGAGCGTAGTGATCTTCCAGCTTCTTTGTCATTTGCAGAAGCAATAAATCATGTTTAGTAGAGAGAAAAGGACCCATTGAAGTGAATTTTCCTATTGAAGGGTATAGAGCTAAATATTAATCCTAATAGGAGTTTCAGACATGAATCCAGAATGGTTTGTTGCCACTTTCTGTACAGGTCTGATATTTTTCAAAATGGGGGCATAAAATGAGACATTCATCTATCATTGTTCCAAACCTGGGATGCTAAGAAGTGGCCTAGGATTTACTACTTTATTATCATTTAAATAAGAAAGATGATCTCATTAATGATAAGTATAAGCAGGGTTGTCCCTGCCCCATATCCACCCTTTATAGTCACCTTTCTCAGAGAACTAACTGCTTAAATCATAAAACTGAAAAACTTTCTGAGAGCATTATGTGTTGGTGTAACATGGCAACTGATATAAAACACCTGTCTCTTCCTGAATGAAGCAAGCCAAAGGATCAAAGGCAGACAGATCCATGTTGTATCAATCAGGAAGCTCATATGATTTGGGGGGATGGGGTGAGGAGAAGGAGGTTCTTTTTTAAAAAAAAAAAAACCAAAATTATGAAAATAAAACTAAATACAAAACTTTGGAAGGGGCATGTACAAATAAGGGGCCCTAAAGCTTCACAGTCAATCCACCTCTGTTAAACAGGTAATGCCTTTGGTCATATACAGATTATACATGGAGCACTGCTGTTCCCTAAAGACTAAGAAAATGATTAAGAACCAACACCTTACCCAAACGAGGCGATCTGAGGGGAGCCATGTTTGGTCAATGCATGGTCATATATCTACAATGTATTGATCAGAGTCTTAACCTAACCACTGATATGAAAAAGAGTATCTCATGAAAAATTCTCTTTACAACTTAAAAAAACAGGCAAGGATTAAATTACTTCTTGCTTATCCTTTGAGTTTCCTTCACTTTTGCTCACATTTAATCATTATTAGAACTTAAAACTAAGTTTTGAAATAGGACTAAAATGTCTTTAAAGAAACATGAATTAACTCAACCTTGGATTTCCTTGATCATTAACTCTCCTTCTAGTAACAAAGACAAAAAATTTAGGAACAAATCTCAATTATTTTCTTTTGGTGGAAGAGGTACCAAGTAGGTACATATTCTGTAGGCTACAGACCTACAATCTAAAATAAGAAAGAAAAAGAGAGAGAGAGAGAGAGAGAAGAAAACAAGAGAAAAAATATTTCCTATATGAGATGGGTTAATGATGCTTCTTTGGAAAAACAAACACATGAGCAATCTGGAAATTCAACGTATAATATTTGGTAATGTTAGAAACACTTCTTACCCATTTTATTAAAGAAGTTGCCTCTGATTCACAGACGACTTAAGTCAATTAAGACGCACTCATAATTAGGCCAAGAGAAAACAACTAAAATTGTTAACTACTCACCCTCCTGCAGCAGCAGCATGAAGGCACGTTCTTCCAAATTTATCTGGGGTGTCTATTTCAAAGCCTGCAGACAGCACGTGCTCATTACTAAACAAGGATACTATGCTATACTTTTGTCCTAGTTAAACCACAAGAAACATTGCAGAGACAGAAAAATCAGTTAGTAGAAAAACCAGAACGCAAGCCATTGTAGTCAGAAAGAGGTTGTCATGGAAACGAATGGTAACTGCTCAAGCTTGGCAATTTTATAGGAAGAACCGTGAAGTCAAGAAGAATTTATTTTCACATTCAGCCCTGGGTGAACTGCAGCCCCATATTTCAATCCCAGGATAAAAATTTATGAAACCAATTTGAGATAAGTAGGGCAATAGACAGGCAGACAGAGCACATGGAGAGAACATGGGAGGCAAAGGAGTAATCATAACATGCTAGAAGAGATATTTTCTTAAGCGCATTATTAGCTTTCAGTTGGTGTAAGATTTGGGAAACGTGCTTTCATGCAGGGGTTATTTTTAAGCATGCCAAAAGCAGTGAAAGCAGAATCAACCGTAAGTAAAGAACTTAAAGGAATAAAAAAAGCCTCTGGGACATCTGTTGAATTAATTCATAAACAATCTTTGCCTTGCAGACCTCTATCACCTTTGAAAGCCAGGAACTTCTTAATACATGGAAGTTGGCAGAATCATTGTTAAGAAAGATTAGCAAAGCTCCAAACCAGAAAGAATTTCTTGGTTCCAAATAGGCCCGCATTAAAAAAATAAAAATAAAACCTAGTTGGAGGGTTATCAACCACAGTGATTTTTCAGAGCCCACGGAGTGGGATGGTAATTTAACATTTCTACTATTAAAAGGTAGGGGATTTGGCCTTTTTTCTTTGTTGAAGAATATGAAATGTTACATCACCAATTTAAGCCTGAAAGATGTCTTCTCCTCCTACGACAAACTTCCTGTAAGCTATGGCCATCCCTGCCTGCCTCCCACTCTGGATCACCAGAGTTCTAACTTGATAAACAGACAAGACTCTCACTCCAGGGCAGAATACTGACGTTCAAACAGTTTCATCACCACGAACTGCTGGAAGCTGTCACATGCAGGTAGCTGTGGACACAGCTCATCCTGCCAATCAGATCATGAATGACATGAAGCACAGGCAGCCACTCACTCTGACCAGACACCTGAAGATACACGGCTCATTTACAGGACACATTATGCGTCATCTGTGGTAATGGAGTTACTTACCCGAGGACAGTAACTTTCTGCAGCAGTCAGAGTGAGCATTGAGGGCAGCTAAATGTAAGGGGAACATGCTATGGATTCCACACCTGAGGAAGAAAAAAGCAGAGCAGCTCACGATTATAGATCTCCTGATACACGCAGAAGAGGGTGACCTTTCTAGAAGGTCTCTGATGAAAATCAAATCCATGAGACCTTGCTTAGGGTCTCCTGGCTGAAATAATTATGCAATCATCTCTACTTTAAAACAATAAAATCCTGGACTTAAACCACAGTGAAAAATCCCATAACAATAGAAAAATATATTTTTTAAGAAAACATTTCACATAAACAGTGACTCTTAGCATTTAAAATTAATTTCTCTTTTATTCTTTCAGCTTAGCAATTTTATGTATCATTCACATTCATTCATTCATCTATTCAACACTTTATAACTATCAGATACTTTGCTAAGTGCTGGAGAAAACAAGAAGCTGACCAACTCTTAACTTTGAAAAGCAACCTGTTTTATTCCTTGAGTTGATAAACAAATATTTATTGTTGACCTACTATGGGTTATCTCTTTGCTAAGAGTTAGTGATGGCTGTATTATTAGAAATAAAATTTTGGATGAGAATAAAAACTAATGTTTACCTTTGACAAGTGAAACTTCATCTTTCTGGTAGCCTTTTATATTGTACATTTACCCACATAAAAAAACCAGTCACAAAATAGTTAACTTTAACCTTACATATATTTCATAAATCTAGCATATTTTCCCTAACAGTAGTACAGAAAGAAACCAGAATAGGACTTCTTAGACTGACCCCTACCATAACTTAACACAGTCCCTGGAACCATCTTCTGAGGGACAGGCAGCCTTCTGACGGCCGTGCTTTCTGCCCTTGGAATTAAAGCCTCCTCCTCCTGCCCATCACTTCTCAAACAAGGACCCAAAGTCAAAGTCCTGTGCTGACTCATAATTCAAACCATACAGCATCAGCAGGCAGCTCCTGTGTACTTAAAAGCATGTTAGTGATCTTGTCTCGTAACATCTCATTTCATTCAGACAATGTACTTCAGATTTTTTAAATCCACAGCATAACATAAGGAGTACAGGCTGTCTATATTTACACCTGCAGCATGAGTCATCTAAGTTTCTTCCCTGGCACCAAGTGGCCCATTTCCACATTCTATATTGAATAAAAAACACATATGACTTGAATTGCTAAGCTTCAGATACACGAATTTTATTTTCTACATGGAAAAGTTATTATGATGTGCATGAATTTGTGAAAGTATATATATGTTCACAGATAATTCATCGTATTTGGCGTTCTGCAACATCTGAGTCTGCCAGCAATTAACCACCTCTCTCTTTTCATCAAAACTTCTATTTATTGATGTTTTTGTTCGGTCTTCCCTCTGTTCATTTTCCTTTCCCTATATGGAGATTTCCAACCCAGTGTATATAATAGCTGGCATCCATCAAGGGATGCAATTTCCCCGTCTTCCAGGCAGTGTCTTGTGGAGGAGAACTGCTTGTAATTGCCTCTCTCATCATTTACAAAAAAAAATTTCTGAAAAGCAATTGCATCAGTGACAACCTTGATGCTTATGAAAAGGAAGAGGGAGTTGGGAGATGGGAAAGAAGCTTTTATTTGTGCTATTTATATTGTTCCCTTCTGATGCCAATGAAACATACTAATTTTTTTGATGTATAGCCTATTTTAAAAGGTCTTTACTAAATGGAACTTAAAGCTAATAAGATTTTACCTAACCATTTTATCTGTTTTGAGGAGTCAAGGCAAAAATCTATGATTAAACATTGCTGGATGCTTGCAAGAAGAAAATGGAGAGAACATTTTCTAGAATCATTGTGAATTCCTGTAAGAACATGACTAAATCAAGGAGTGGATTTTTAAAGATTTCTTTGAGTCTTCCTCATTCTTTATATGTATGTGTATGTGTGTGTAAAAATATAAATAGTTTAATAATATCAACATACATACATAAGTATACCCATAATATTTATGATATAGTTTATATAGGTACATAAAAGTTACCTTTATATTAAACAATACAAGCAAATGACTTAGGGAAAATAGTATCAAACTATAATAAAACAATTAAGAAAAACATAAAAAGCATAAAAGTTTAATAGACTCAGTGTTATAACATATTCCATAAACTTCACTATTAATACTTCTAGCCAAACTTAACATTTAACCCCATTGTCTTTAGATAATTCACCACACTTTATATTAGCTAATAATTTCATTTTTTTCTGCATCTACTTATAAAACTGAGAAGGCAAGCAAGGCAGAACTCTAAAAGGCCTAGCAAAAATTCTCTTTGATAAAACACACAAACAATAAATGCTGAAGAGGGTGTGGAGAAAAAGGGAGCCCTCTTGCACTGTTGGTGGGAAATGTAAATTGATATAGCCACTATCAAAGACAGTATGGACATTCCTTAAAAAAAACTAGGAATAAAACTACCACATGACCCAGCAATCCCACTACTAGGCATATACACTGAGGAAACCAAAATTGAAAAGACCCATGTACTCCAATATTCATTGCAGCACTATTTACATTAGCTAGGACATGGAAGCAACCTAGATGTCCATCAACAAATGAACAGATAAAAAGGTGAGGTACATATATACAAGGGAGTATTACTCAACCATAAAAATGAATGCATTTGAGTCAGTCCTAATGAGGTGGATGAATCTAGACCCTATTATACAGAGTGAAGTAAATCAATGAGAGAAACAAATATCGCATATTAATGCATATATACGGAATCTAGAAAGATGGTCCCAGTGAACCTGTCTGCAGGGCAGCAATGGAGATGCAGACATAAGAGAACAGACTCATGGACATGGGTAGGTGGGGGAAGGTGACAGTGGGACGAAGACAACAAGTAGCCTGGAAACATGTCCACCAGCATATGTAAAACAAGCAATGGGAATCTGCTGCGTGACTCAGGGAACTCAAACCAGGGCTCTGTAACAACCTGGCGGGGTGGGAGGGAGGTCCAAGAGGGTGGGACATGTGTATACCAATGGCTGATTCATGCTGATGTATGGCAGAAACCAACGCAGTACTGTAAACCCATCATCCTTCAGTTAAAAATAAGTTTTAAAAAACAGATAAACAACAAGGACCTACTGTATAGCACAGGGAACTATATTCAACCTATAATGGAAAAATTCTGAAAAATATATATACAACTGAATCACTCTGCTGTACACCAAAAGCATGGTAAATCAACTCTACTGCAATAAATTTTTTTTAAAAAATGAAAAAAATCCTCTGATATATTCCATAGTTAACAAAAAAGTCACTACCTCAATGTAGGAAATACATTAATTTAGACTCAAGTACTAGTACTGGTATTCAAACAAATATGATGTGCCAGTTCAAATAGAAAAACTAAGTATCAGGTGAAGATGGCAAGAAAATAAAAATAGAACTCAGAATTTCTGAATCACTTCAGAAATGATTCACACATTACAAATAAAATTTCTCCTTTGTTGTTATGAAATAAGACTGCTTATAAAGAAAGGATCCTAAAACCTTTAGCAGGAAACTTAGGATTTGACTGTCCTAGTCAAATGAGAAACATCGCTCTGACTTCATCAGGTATACATCAAGGAAGATCAAGAAATAAAGATGTCAGATAACACTAAACTTAACAGTACATATATTACAGGAAAGGGAAGACCAATTCCAGTTAATCTGCTACATTTATTTGACCAGTCATAAAATTAATGGTACACATTTGTATTAGCTATTTCTAATTTATCTGTTAGCTGGGTCTCCTACCCAGTTATTTCAGAATAAATGAGGCCAGAATAAATTGCAGAGAGCCATCAGAGGTGAGGACAGGGCTTTTGCACCATTAGAATATCAGGTCTTTTAAGTTTTCCCCTTGACTCAGGAGGACATGGCTGTTCCTTTCCATATCCACGCCTTTCTAGAACCTTCCCTTAGGCCATATGCTTAAAAAAAACACTGTGGTTAAGGTGATGGGGTGAGAACCTTTGGGTTTCAGTTCTAACTTTTCCATGTGTTAGCTATTTGGACTTTGGCAAGTACATAATGACTCCCTCACCTTTATATAAAATAAAGATAATAATGGTGTCAATCTTACAGAGCAATTGGAAGGACTAACTGAGATAATGTACATAAAGTGTTAAATAGGATATCTGACCCACGGTTCCCTTGCAATTATTATTTGCTTAGCTGGATAATCAGCAGTCTGTGAGTTTTGAGGTTGTAATAAGGTTGTACTTCCTTAAAAGCCAAGAATGAAGTGTGACCAATAGCATTTCTGGTCTTTCTGTGTTTCAAAATTCTTACAGATGAACCTACTTGCAGGGCAGGAATAGCGATGCAGACGTCGAGAACGGACATGTGCAGGTGGGGGGTGGTCAGCTGAGAGGGGACTGACATATATTCACTACCATGCTGTGAAATACACAGCTAGTGGGAACCTCCGTATAGCGCAGGAAGACCAGTTTGGTGCTCCGGGTGACTTAGATGGATGGGCCTGGGGATCAGGGCGGGGGCCGGGTGGGAGGGCCAAGAGGGAAGTGCTACATGCTCACATGTAGGTGATTCATTTCATTGTACAGCAGAAAGTGACATAACATTGTAAAGCAACTGCATCCCATTTAAAAAAATCCTTTACAATACTCACCTCTCAACTCTCCCAGGAAAGGTGGGATTGGTTTAGTTTTACCCACCAAGTGGGTGAGACAAAAACTGATGATTTTTGATCATCAAATGATTTTATGATACTTATTCAAGTGATCAATGTTAGTAATTTCAGTTGTGTCCAACTCTTTGTGACCCCATGGACCTGTAGCCCACCAGGCTCCTCTGTCCATGGGGATTCTCCAGGCAAGAACACTGGAGTGGGTAGCCATTCCTTTCTCCAGGGGATCTTTCTGACCCAGGGGTCAAACTCAGGTCTCCTGCATTTCAGGCAGATGCTTTAACATCTGAGCCACCAGGGAAGCCCAAGTCAAGTGATCAAACCATAAAATAAATCTCTTATTAATTTTAATCTATGTCATTCCAACTGTTTATCATGCACCACTAAGCTACAGGCACTTGGCCTGACTGACAAAAAAGAAGCCTGGTCCCTGCTATTTACAACCTGCAGACATTTTCAGGGGTTCCTTTTGGATCAAAGTCCAAATACTCTAACATGGCTACAAAGCCCCTTCTGGATCTGACTACTGCTTAACCTAGATGTGTTCTTAGGATCTTTGAACTTCTGTCCATTCCTCTTGGAAGAGCCCTGGGTTTTCACATGCACGCCCTCCTCCTGAAACTCTTACAACTCAAACTCTTCTGCTTCTCATGGTATTTCTCAAACTAGTCGTTACATCTCTAGGGGTTGCTGGAATATCTTTGGGCTTTTAAGAACTCTCTATGACAGTTTTAGATCGTCTTTCCCTTTTGATGAGAATCCAGAACAGATGGCATGAAAGCATATGTTAGTGCATCTAAAAGGCCACCTTATCACCACACACCTCTGCCAAATTTCAGCACTGACATTTGCATGATGCTCAGGATCACAGCTGTGCTGTACAGTACTACTTTAATTGGCAGGTGCCAGTGAGAGTAAAGGTGGACTTCATAGAAAACGAAATGTCTGAGTCTAGGAAGGGCAATGATAACGTAGCACAGTGAGTCTCCTGTGTGCGCAGAACTGGCAATAGTTTGAGCAAAGGTTTCTGCGCCATGTGACAGGTCCACTGCCCACCACTTTAAGTCACTGCAAAACCTCCACTTCCAGAGGTAAGTACTGGATCCTAAAAACTCAGCATCTTAGTCACCAGGGCCACAATTCTGAGCAAAATGCTAAGTATCAATCACATCATCCATTACATGGAGAGGCAGCAAGCCTCCTGCCTAAGGAGCTGAGGCTCCAGATCCAGGTGATCAAGGATGGTGTCCTGTTTCCACCCACCGCTCTGTGACCTCAGAAAGCTAACTAAACCTCCTTTACTTCACCTGTAAGATGGCCATAATCACAGCACTTACCCTAGGGGGTTGTTGTGACACTAAACGTAACCTCTCAGAGTGGGACCTAGCATAAGGAAGAACTCATGAGCATTTGTTACTATTGTCCTGTGTGGTTATGGTGAACGCTGTGGGTTTCTTTTTGTATGTATTTTGTAATTTTTAAAAATTTATTGCTATATGAGAGTCAAAAGCCTTAGGGAGTCTCTATTTAGTCTTATGTTTACACATATTCAAACATTTTAATAAAAATATTCTAAGCAGATGCTTAGGACCTGAAAGACTTTCAGTTACATAACTAATTGCTGCTTGTCCTACGAGTTAACCATCCCTCTTCTGGGAAGCTTTGCTGGTCCTGCTACATACATCCCATATATGTTCTCCTATACTCCAGTGGCACCTGGCAGTTGTTCTGCCATCAAACTTAGCATGCATGACTGTCACTGCCTATTTAATTCTTGCCCTGGAGAAGGAAATGCAATCCAATCCAGTATTCCTGCCTGAAGGATTCCATGGACAGAGGAGCCTCGTGGGGTACAGTCCATGGGGTCACAAAGAGTTGAACATGACTGAGTGATTCACACTTTCACTTTTGAGTTCCCCACTTCGACAGGCTGTAAACTCCTCAGCAGCAAGCTCTGTGACCCCAGAACCTGACAGTGGGTGACACTTAACAAGCCATCAGCAGATATTCAGTGGATGTAAGAATATCAGAATCAGTCACTTGGAAATCTATAATACCACTAATTCTGCTACAATTGAGGCAGAAAAAGCAGTGAGAGTTTAATTGATAAGAGGGAATACAAATTAAAAAATCCTGGAGACAAGCACCCCAAAACTAACAAAGTTAAACAAGAAAAAACCCAATGGCTTTGATACCACATAAAGTTGCATAAGCACCGAGTCACCCTGCAGAAACTGACAAAGTTCAGAGAAACAAAGAAGAAAAACAAAGAATATTTAATCAAGGCCTGAAAATAAGATGTAAATAAATTCATCAGAAAGTAACGACTATAGAACTTGTCATAAAGAGATCTGTAAAAATACATTGGCCATATTGTTTATGAATTAAAATGGGTTATTTTCATAAATGCTCTTTTTTCTTCACTTACTTACAGAAGGAAAGGCCTGTTTTTCTCCTCTTTAATGACCTACCCTAGATAAATCCACAAGGAGACCAGAGAACAGTGACTTCCTGGGGAAAAGTGAAAGTCGCTCAGTCATGTCTGACTCTTTGTGATCCCATAGACTATACAGTTCATGGAATTCTCCAGGCCAGAATACTGGAGTGGGTAGCCTTTCCCTTCTCCAGGAGATCTTCCCAACCCAGGGATCGAACCCAGGTCTCCCACACTACAGGCAGATTTTTTTACCAGCTGAGCCACAAGGTAAGCCTAAGAATGCTGGAGTGGGCGGCCTATCCCTTCGCCAGCAGATCTCCCTGACCCAGGAATCGAACCGGGGTCTCCTGCATTGCAGGCAGATTCTTTACCAACTGAGCTATCAGGGAAGCCTAAGCCTTAAGCAAATTCAATCATCAGTTCTCCTGTCCCTTCACTTGGATATTTTCTCTTTAGGTGATTTCCCTCCCCACACAACATACACACTCACTCACACACACAAACACACACACGCCCACACACACAGTTGTTGCCTTAACGAACCACTGTTACTGAAGGAAGCATGTCTTAACCCCAGATAGCTGGGCAGAAGGAAGCAAATGTGGCTCTTTGAAGCTGGGACAATGTTTCCCTGGCCAGTGTCCCCAGTACGGTCAGTAGAAAGAAAGGTTACTTGACCAACAACGTCATTCCTAAGGCATTTTTGCCACATAGTTTGAGTTTGTACAAATTGAGGGCAAAATAATCTCAAGGAAACAGACTTTGTGCTTACTGTGTTAAATGTGGTTTTATTTTAAGTATTGAGCCTTATTTACCTTTATCCCTCAAATGAGGGATAAAGTTCAAATTTTTTGAAAAAACTCTTTTTCAGATGAGCTCAAATCTGAAAAAAACCACTGAAAATACAAACATATTACAGGGTGAAGATAGCTTGTGCCTAAACACTTTATTTCTGCTTAACTGACACAGAGCATTTAAGATCTTTGACTTTGGGTTGCCATGGTCTGCTTGGGAACCCTAGAATCTGGTGAATGGCTCTGAAATCCAAGAACACTGCTCTTTCCAGGAAACTGAGCTGCTGCTTTAGACTTGCAACCTTCCGGTCAAACAGGTCCTGTGACTTGAAGCTGATTCCTTTCTCTGCTGAGACAACCCACTGTTCTTGCTATTAGTGTCCATCAGTGTCTCTCCACCCTCAGTCTTGTCCTTAGCTTGAGAACCGCATTTCTTCTCTGGACACTCGCAAGAGGCTGCCAAGTGTTTCTAGTCTGGACCACTTCCAGTCTGTCTGGACTGCTATTAGAGTGATCTTTCTTAGACACAAACAGGATCATTAAACACAACCTACCCTACACATAGTTATAATTCTTTAACAACTTCTGAATGCCTCAGAATGGTATCCAACTCCTCAGCAAGATGTTCAAGGTCCTCTGAAATGTGGTTCTTCCTGCCTTTCCACCTCATCTCTTTCCACTCCCCTAACATGCTAGATATTATGAAGCTATAATAAATAATAACATAATAAATTAATAATTAGTAGTTAGCATTTATTGATAGCTTACTATGAGCCAGCACTGTTCAAAGAGCTATTAAGTTGGATTATCTTGTTGAATACCTTAGCAGATGCATTTAGATAACTCACACACAGATCTTAACACATACTGGAGAGCTCTACTAGTAATTAAGTCCTTTAAACCTCATAACAAACCTATGGTAGATACTAGTATTACTCCCATTTGCCAAATGAGGAAATCAATGTGCAGACAGATTGAGCAACAAGCTCAAGGTCACACAGCTCACAAATGAGGCAGCTTGAGCTGGAGCCCAGTCAGTGCCCACTAAAGGCTGGGTCTCCCACCATGATATAATGCAGCCTTTGGCAGAGCATGGCACCATCACACACCCTCCACCCCACCAGGCCAACTTCCACTCCACTAGGCCACCCTCCCCGTGGGAGCTGTATCTGTTCCTGCTTTCCTTCCTGCTTGGGACGTCTGCCACTCTCTGCTCTATTCACATAACTCCCATCCTTCAAAATCTACCTAAAAATCACCTTCTCCTTCAAAACTGTGGCCACCTTTGAGCTCTCTCCTTCCTGTCTATACCCTATGGCATATTATTGTCTATACCAAATATTTTGCCATTAAAGTTCTGTTTCATTTTGAACTTTGCTAAATATGATCTTGCATGGTTCTTCGTCTTAAGTGGATTTTGGGCCTCCAACAAAATTATGAGCTCCTGGAAGGTACCAACCAGGTAACGTGTATCTGAAATTTCCCACAGCACCCAACATTGCAATGGATTCATATAGATGCTTCACATATTCTTGTTGAATTGAAGTACAAAATGAAGTCAGGTCCCTCTTCCCTATGTGGCAGATTTATTCAATTGCACGGTATAACCATATCATTAAACATGGGTTATTAACATATGCAAAATGGTACTCTGAATAAAATCTGAGTTTGCCCAATTATGCTTTATTTTGCCTGCTTAATTAACACTGCACATTGGAAAAAACAGAAGAATATTAAAAAAGAGAGATTTAGGAGTAAAGTTCAAGTTCCCTTAATTAAAACCACTGAAATAGGCCTCTTTCTGATATAGCTGAAAAATAAAATTGGTTCTTCCTTGCAACTGTCATTAAAAATCACTTAATTTAGTTCAAATTTAATTTGTGTTTAGCATAATGGCACAGATCTACCTTAACCTGGATAAACAGGATCTATCTACAGCATGGCGGAACCCCTTTGGCAGTACTCCCACATGTGGCAATTAATCCACTGTATCTTTGCTGTAACCTACTTGGCTGTGTCAGCTCCGCTGGTTATTAAGGTGTTAATCAAAAGCTCATGGCCGTATCTTGCAGCCACGTGAAGAGGAGTGTTACCATCCTTATCCACACAGTCAATTTCACCTCCTGAAAGAGACATTTTAATACAGAATAACATAAGGATTCATGTTGACTCAGATAATATACTCACACTGACCAAATGTTGATTTCATTTTTATTCTGTGCATCTCTGCTCTCAAGGACAAGAATGCTTTTTAAGGGAACAAGTCACCATCTGAAGTTGTAGTATTATTAAATCTGCATGGAAGGAAGTCTATCAGAAATGCTTTTTAAAAACCTTTCCACATTGTATTATTTAAGAATCTAAAATCTTACAACTAGATTCCCTCTCTAAATAAACAATGTAATCAAATTCCATAAAATGCATCTCTGAAGACATATTCAGTTTTAATTTTACTTGCTGAATTAAAGACCTATGTAAATCTTATGCTACAGCATAAGAACCAAAGGAATAGAGTTCAAGAAAAGATTTTATGTAGTTTGATTATCTAGTTTAAAATATGATGACTAAAATGAGTAAAAGCATAAACTATAAAGTATCCATATTTATAAAAACTATCACATTAATTACCTACAGTTCCTTTAATAATATAGTAGTTCCATTTTATTTTATTATATATTGCCTCTTTTTCCCCAAATTCTTATTTTACTATGCCTCTTTATTTCTCTCCCCTTTTCATATATGTGAAAAGACATATAATATGTAATAAATGAAATACAATTAGTCTATTAATTTATTTAAAGAACCATTTAGAAATAAGTTAGACATCATGGATTTCACCTCTAAGAACAAAGACAGTCTCCCATATAACCACGATACCATCATACACTATAACTATCATACCCCAAAAATTTAACAGATACCATAATTTTGTGTAACATACAGTGTGTATTTCAACTGTCCCCAAAAATGTGCTTTATAATTGTTTTTTTCTAATCCAGGATTCAATCAAAGATTCTGACAGCATTTAGTTGTCACGTCTCTTTAGATTCTTATCATCTGGAACAATCTTCCTGCCTTTCATGTATGTATGTAGGTATCTCTCAAGTTATTGATATTTTTAGAGACTAAGCCAGGAGTCATATAGGATATAGTGCATTCTGGTATTGTCTGGTTATTTCCTCCTTATCAGATTCAGGCTAAATATTTTGGCAAGAATATCCCAAAGTTGAAACGCACTTCCCATCCCACCTCCACAGCACACACATAACATCAAGCTAGTCCGTTACTGGATGATACAAATGGAATTACTTACAATGGGTACAGGCTGTCAGTTTGGGAAGATGAAACAGTTCTGCAAATGGATAGTGGATACAGCTGCACAACTATGTGAATGTACTTAATGCCACAGTACCATGTGCTTAAAAATAGTTTAAATGGTAAATTTAATGCTAAATGTATTTTACCACAATTTAAAAAAAGAGGCTTGATTACTTGGCTAAGGTGATGCCTGCTCACACTCTCCTCTGCAAAATGTCTTCTCCCTTTTAATAATTAGCAAAAAATTTGTGGGGGATACTTCCAAACTGTGCAAATATCCGCTTTCCCAACAAAGTTTCCCACAATGATTTCAGCATAAACATGGAGCACTCTGTTCAAAAGTTATCTGAATTCTTTATTCTGTGTGCTTCTATTATCAATTCGATACACAGCCTCATTTGACTGTGGGCTTCCCAGGTGGCGCTATTGGTAAAGAAACTGCCTATACAGGAGACATAAGAAATGTGGGTTCAATCCCTGGGTGGGGAAGACCCCCTGGAGAAGCGCATGGCAATCCACTCCAGTATTCTTGCCTGGAGAATCCCATGGACAGAGAAGCTTGGCAGGCTAAAGTTCATAGTGTCACAGAGTTGGACACAACTGAAGTGACTTAGCACTCATTTAACTTTGCCTTCAAATATTTTACTGGCTCTGATTTAACTTTATTAAATACATAAAACATGTGTTTCAAAAGTCTATACTTTTAAAAAAGCCTCAATTTCTACCCCACTTCACCTTCAACCACATCCTATAGTAATTAACCATTTTCACTAGTTTTCGTTTATGCTTTCTGTGTTTCTCTTTGTAAAAAATAAACATTCTTTTATGCCATGCCTTTTGTTCCTCCCCACTTAACAATGTACCCCTGGAATTCACTCCTAGAGATCACTTCTTTGGATATCTTCCTCATTTTTGTACGACTTGTTTTTCATTGCAAGGATGTATTAGTTAAGTAAGCCAGTCTGGTATAGATGAACATTTAGGTAGCAAAAATAACTTTGCTATTATCAGAAATGCTGCAGTGAATAACTTTACGCAAATATTGTTTTGTATTTGTCGAGTGCATCTTCAGAATAAATTATTAGAAAGGGGATTTCTAGGTCAAAGAAATGAGTATATGGTTTTATTAGATTTTGCCACATATCCTTCTCTAGGTGCTGTACAACTTTGCACTCATGTGAGCAATGTGTAAGAGTTTCTTTTTCATCAGTCTTGCCAAGCTTTTGAATGTATTCCATGTAACGAGTGAAAACCGGTTTCTCACATTGTAGTCTTTATTTACATTTCTCTTGTTAAGGAAGTAGAGAATCTTTTCATATATTAAAGGGCCATTGTTTATCTTTTTCTATGAACCATTTGTTCGTGACTTTTGCCCATTTTTCTAAGTGTGTGTGTGTGTGTGTGTTATGATCTTTTTATTCCTTAATTTTTAAAGGTTCTTAAAAGAGTTGGGAGATTACCCATTTAGCAGTAATACTTGTTAAAAATATTTTTGTCCTAGATTTTCTTTGTCTTTGGTGTTCTATGCTGAAAAAAATTGTTTTATAATTCCTTTTATTGTATTTAGATTTTGCATTGTGGTTTAAAAAGTTTTCCCCACATCCTAGCAATACAGAAACTGACACAGGTGAAAGTATTTGCTATACGCATTACTGATAATCAAGTAAACTTCCAGGTATTTTAAGAGCCTCTGAAAATCAAGGAATAAGGAGGAATTAAGGAGAGGGAGGAATGGGGAGTGACTGCTAAATAGGATGAGGTTCTGGGGGGCAGATGATGACAATGTTCTGGAACTAGACAATGGTGATGACTGTAAAGCCATGTGAAGATACTGAGATCCACTGAATCACACACTTGACAATGATGAGCTCCTATAGTACATGGAATTTATATCCCAATCATAAAGGAAGGGCCTGAGGAAAGCTAGAGGGAAGGGGAGGGAGTAAAGGACAGGGAGCGCACCACGGAGAAAAACACACAGTGTGTGCTCGAGCTTACGGAAGACCGTGTGCACGTCCGCATTCAATGAGAGAGAGCACCTGAGATACTGGGGCACCAAACACAGACTAGTCTCAGAGTTCATTTCTTGACTATCCTGCTCATAAACAAATCTCTGCATCATTATGGAAAGCAATTAAGTTATTGAATTATCAGCTCATGCTCTGAGATATCAGGTATTTTCAGTCAGTTCAGTTCAGTCGTTCAGTCGTGTCCGACTCTTTGCAGCCCCATGAATCGCAGCACGCCAGGCCTCCCTGTCCATCACCAACTCCCGGAGTTTACTCAAACTCATGCCCATCCAGTCGGTGATGCCATCCAGCCATCTCATCCTCTGTCGTCCCCTCCTCCACCTGCCCCCAATCCTTCCCAGCATCAGGGTCTTTTCAAATGAGTCAGCTCGTCACATGAGGTGGTCAAGGTACTGGAGTTTCAGCTTCAGCATCAGTCCTCCCAATAAACACCCAGGACTGATCTCCTTTAGGATATGGAGATCCTTGGATCTCCTTGCAGTCCAAGGGACTCTCAAGAGTCTTCTCCAACACCACAGTTCAAAAGCATCCATTTTTCAGCGCTCAGCTTTCCTCACAGTCCAACTCTCGCATCCACACACGACCACTGGAAAAACCATAGTCTTGACCAGACCGACCTTTGTTGGCAAAGTAATGTCTCTGCCTTTTAATATGCTGTCTAGGTTGGTCATAACTTTCCTTCCAAGGAGTAAGCGTATTTTAATTTCTGGCTGCAGTCACCATCTGCAGTGATTTTGGAGCCCAAAAAATAAAGTCTGACACTGTTTCCACTGTCTCCCCATCTATTTTCCATGAGGTGATGGGACCAGATGCCATGATCTTAGTTTTCTGAATGTTGAGCTTTAAGCCAACTTTTTCACTCTCCTGTTTCACTTTCATCAAGAGGCTTTTTAGTTCCTCTTCACTCTCTGCCATGAGGGTGGTGCCATCTGCATATCTGAGGTTATTGATATTTCTCCCGGCAATCAGGTATTTTAGAGTAGGTCAAATCTTCAGCTTTACCTCATTATCAATTATATTGAACTAAACTAAGCTGATGTTTTAAAACTAAAATATATCATTTTAAGATACTAATACTATAATGTTTGGTTGTGTATCTAAACTACACAGACACATTTATACATTCCAGAATAAGAAATACAAAATCCTGAGAAATGTAAATATTCTATAAATGGCTTAGATCTAAAAAGATATTAAACATTTACTTTAAATAATATTACTGAGAAAGTAATTTTCTCATTGTAGAAAATTTAGAAGATGCTGTAAAATACAAAAAAGAAAACAGAAGTCATCTATAAATTCACTGATTATTTTGAGGTAATCAGTATTAATATTCTGGATATTTCCTTTCAGTTGTTTTTGTGTATGTGCATTTGTGTGTGAAGACATTTCCCATGGTTACGATCATAGAATACAAAGAGTTTTGTATCCTGACTTCCCCCTTAATATTACATCACAAACACTTCCCATGTTATTAATTTGTTTCATTAAAATAACTGCAAATCTCCATGATATCAGTATTTAGAGAATTTACTTAGAAAGGCCCCAATTACAAGGCATTTAGGCTATGCCCAATTTTGCCACCAGGAAAAACACAGGAATGAACATAATTTTACATCATTTTATCCACATTTCAGATTATCTCCTCCAGCAGCGTTTTCAGAAGCAGTACTACTAGATTGGAAGTATGAGTATTTTTAAGGCCCTTGATGGACACTGGGAAATTGCTTCTGAGAAAGTCTGTGCCATTTGTACTCCTGTTAGCAGTATATGTG